AAGTTATTACGTACACACACACACACACACACACACACACACACACACACACACACACACACGAACGCCTCTGAAAACATAACCTTCTTGGCGAAGGTAATAAGTAGTAATTCATGCAAATTACCAGCCATTTTGTAAATCTCAATGCATTTGGGCTGCTTCATTCCATACAACCTTAGTTGTTCTTAAATCCCATTAACCTATCTCTTTCCTCCTGTCTTTAGAACTGGACCTGTCCGCCATGCAGGGGGATCTGTAACTGCAGTTTCTGCCGGGCCAAGAAAGGTCGAGGTGCCACGGGCATTCTCATTCATGCTGCCAAGCACCATGGTCATGACAACGTGCACGCCTTCCTCAAGAGGTAAGTCTTGGACTTGCACTCTATGCAATTTAACTTTATTTACTTCATTAAGAAGGTTATGGTTTTGGTAATGTTTGTGTGTGCATGTGTCTGTAAATGGCATAACTCAAGAAGCTAAGGTCGAGCAAGAGGGAAATTGAGTTTCATTTTGGGCTCAAGAAGAAATTTGTTTGCAAATTATTCACCTGTTTTAACACCATGTGCTGGAGGTCTCTGCTCTCTAGTTAGTCTATGTTGTACTAGATTAACAATAATAATGTTTTCTTTGTTCCAGTCTAAAGGCCTGAAGTGCAACAGTTCACATTGGTGCTACTTTGACCAGCCATTTGTGTGTTCATCCTCATCAAGAGCCATCCTGTTCACCAATATTAACCGAGCCATAGTGTACTAAAGACTAATACACATTTGTCAACCGTACGTTGTAGCTAACAAACCTAGCTGTAATTATAGTTCCATGCTATATGTATATTCTTACGGACAGTTGGTGTTTTTATATGGTAGTTGCATAGACCTTTTCACAGATTTCATTACATGCAGGCACTATAGGTAAGGTGTTGTCACGATAATGAAGTTCTTTGCCCCATAATGCCTCACATTCCCAGCATGCAATGGGATTAATGAAAAATTCTATGAAAAAGGTTTGTGCAGGGGGCAGATCAATAGACCCATTCGACTTTCACGGATCGCATAAAACTGCATACGTCACAGGGGGTACATTTCGAATAGAAACTACGTCACAGGGGGGACATTTCGAAAGTTCCTTTCACAGATTGCATAAACTGCATACGTCACAGAACAAAATTACCTTAAATTGTTGTACGGAATTCCACCATACAAAGTTGGTGCCTGTTTTCCTGTCATTTCCGCATATATTACAGAGAAAAAAAGACACTACCTACACTTTAGTAAAAAATAATTTGCCAGGGGGGACACCGCGAGCGCAAGCCGCGTTCGACTTCATCGTTCTAGAACGATGTTCTTTCGAAATGTCCCCCCTGTTACGTAAGCAGTTTATGCGGTCCGTGAAAGTCGAATGGGTCTATTACTAACTTACTATATGTTAGTCCTTCAAATAGTTTCAACTTTCAGATACATGTAGACAGAAGTTGCACGATATTATAGATTGAGACAGTTGCAATGATCCAAAGTACTAGTACCTTTTTAGTTGACGTTACAAGTATAGGTATGCAAGAATCTGTATGCAATGTTAACATAGTTAACAAAGACCACATGCAAAGATTAAGCATGAACAGCAATATAAATGAACACCCATGATGAGATATTTTGTTGACCAAACTCATGGATTAAAAGGGCCATGCAGAGATGTGTTCTTGTAGTAAAATACCACAAGAAATGCGTGATTCACTGCCATTTGTGCAACTAGATTTTATAACATTCTGCAAATCTTGACATTTTTATTTTTAAAGATTAGGGTTGATTTGTTAATTGTAGGATATGCTATTCTTTTTCCAGCACGCTTTTATCGGATTGTATTCTAGAGGTTATATCTAGTGACAGCAGTCAGTTACATTCAATGTAGGCCCACAACATTTAATGCAGCTATTAAACCATTCTTCAAGGAAGATGCTCTGTTTTTCTTGTGTGGTGTTGAATAAATGGTAACATGTTGGATAAAAGCAAAGTCATAAAGGGCCTCCAAAGTCACTGATTTCAATTTTCCAGCATGACAAATGAAATTTGATTTTATACAAAATGTAGATTTTTCTAGCAATTCTGATGTTGATGTGTAAAGACAGTAATTAAGTTAACCTAAGTTTTACATGGTGAATATCAAGAAGAAAAAAACACAAGTTGAAACAATGTAGTGTTCTGGTATGTTGTAATTGCACTCATTATGGTACGTATACTTTTTGAGCAGGCAACAATTTTGTTATCAACAAGTTACTAGTACTTGGAAGAAGTAGGGACAAACAGACTTACCATGCTGTACAAGATCACGCAGGGCCTAGCATGTGTAAGCTGTGAAGCCTTGAAGCTCCTTCCTGGTAACAGCACTAGACGCCGCAGAGGCCACAGCCAACAGTACCAACAACTCCCATGTCGTACAAACTACAGACAGTACTCATTCCTTCCCCGCACCATATGCGACTGGAACTCCCTACCCGAGGAGGTTATACAGTCAAACTCCCTGTCTGCATTTGTCTCGCAGTTGTCAAACATCGACTAGACACCCCCCAACGGTGACCTCTGACCCGTTAATCATGTCAATAATGGCCGACAATTCGGCCGATGGACATTAACGGAAGAAGAAGAAGAAGAAACAACTAAAATGACTTTCACTCCGACCTGTATAAATAGATAGGGCCATACCACATAACTTTCCTGGGTAAGTTTGTGCTAAAGGTACTGTATATTGTGTATAACTTTCCTGATCGAGCAAGTGTGTGCTCAACAGCTCCCTCATTCGTAAAAGGAAAGGGCACAAGCCAATCAGGCTCCTTAACACTAATAATAACAGCAACAAAGTTCTCGTAGATAAATGTTCAGTACAAAACTATATCTTTCAGTCTTTCCATCGATGACCACATTCTGAGCTACAACACTTGTAAAATGTGGTCATTGGTTCATCAGCTGATCTGGTCTGGATCTGCATGAAGTAAGCACGGGGATGTTCACACTTGGGGCACTTTTCTGTAGAGGAAGACATTCAGGAAAGAAATGATGTCAGTTTTCATGAACCCAGCCTTCAGTAAGGTATTAGGTAAAGTCGCCATCCTTACTGAGGTGAAGCATGATTCTTTTTCTGTTGGCTAATAGTGCAAGTCTTTGCCACAGCTCTCATTTTCTGCAAGCATGCCTGGGTGGACCCATGCCCTTAATGACAAGTACATTGAGTTCTTATACATGACAACCTACATTATGATGCCTCAAAATGACAAATACAACCCAATTTTTTTTAATTTTTTTTATATAATGTGCTGTAGTGAGCAATACCCACTGATTTTGTACTCTTTCGCAATACTTAAGGAATACTTAATTAAGAAATGTGGGACAAATATAATCTTATGAATTACGAATTATATAAGATAATATTTGTCCCACATTTCTTAAGTATAGTTATGAATATATCAAGGTAACATTAATGAATTATAATGTCTCATAACACCCGGGAACAAGAATACAGAAAGGCCAATGTTAGAAACATAAAGGGCTATAACACATGATTCTAATTTGGACATAATACAAGATTCACAACATATAAACTTATGATGCAATGCGGTGAAATTCCTGACCTTCCGTGGAGTCGACGTTTGCCCAGGCCTCAGGTCCTCCGAGCACATCGTCCACTTCCTTCAGCTTTGGGTACTTCTTAAACGAAATCTGCACAGTAGAATTGACACTTGCTAGAATCACAGATCTCCATAAATCAGAAAGCTTAGATTAGATGCAATTTACCGTATATGCCTCGAATAAAATATCAAGTTAGCTGAAGTCACATACCAAAAATATATTTATGGGGAGGGGGGCAAGCGAACTTCCGAAACAAAATGCATCTCACCTTATGTGTGATGTTGTATATGTATGGACAGGTTTGACAGCCGAATCTGTAACATTTTTCACCCTCTTCCGCGACCAGCAAGTTGGCGCAGGTTGGACAAAATAAAAGCATTTTCAAGTAAGAAACGAAGAAAGTTCTGACGATGATATTCCACTGAGAGTAGGGGTCGGAGGTCGCGCACGTACATGTATCTCCCTGTTCATTACCGCGAATTCGCATCAGATTCGCACAAAAAAATTACACAACATTTCATGATAACAATGTAATTTCCCGTCATTTTTCTTGTTTATAATAATTATACATAAATTTAAGAAGATACCTTTGTGTTTTGAGCAAATACTAATGACTATCCGTGTTCAGCGAATGTACGTGCTCAAACGTAATGCTGGTTTTACGTTCATTACCACAGCAACCGAAGGCGCCAGAATTTTGCAGTTTGAGCTTGATGATTTTAGAGGGAGGAGAGAGGGAGGCTGTTTACAAATATAACTAAACAGAGACAAGAAACCCCAGTTCCTCAGCTTGACTCACGTCTTGAGGCATTTCTGGCCCATGTCTACTTTTACCCTAGAGTGCCTTGATTTTGGAAGATACACGATGGTCAGAAGTAAGTGAAGTTGTTTACAAACTACAATTTCAGTAGATATGTTACATATCTATTATGTATGTGTAACGTTTATATGTGCTTGTAGTAATATAGATAGTTGCGATAGTACCTTCAGTGATAGACAATAGCATATCACACGGTCTTGTAAAGATGTGCAAAGGTATGAGTTTATAACAAAGTATATAAGTTTATCATAACGTATGTAATGGTATAGGTGTATATAAAATATAACAGTTATGTCTTGATTAATTTGATTTCAGTCTGTGTATATAAAATATAACAGTTATGTCTTGATTAATTTGATTTCAGTCACAGAAGACCTGATTCGGAAGAGGGCGGAACATAATGAGTGTGAGATATATTCTCTTCAAGAAATCTCCCTCCACCAACAAGGAGTAGAAAGGTATATATATATGCTTGATCTCCCCCATTCAACTTTGTTTCTCCTTATAACTGGTAGCTCTACTAGCTAGTGATGCATACCGGTTCACTGGACTTGGATCCGGACTTGTAAGAATGTTTAGGTTCAAGTCCAAAAAAACCTAAAAGTCAAGAGTCCGGACTTATTACCATAAAAGACCATTTCACATACCCCTTTTCTTTCCAAACCACCTGAAACCTTCCGCAGATTGCAAAATCTTTGCTGCAAAATGAAGAAAACATTGCCATCGGGCATCATCAAGTGTCGGCCTCCATGTTATATTAATTATGTGGCCAAAGTTTCACCCAGACAACATTGCAAGGTTGCCAATATGCAATTTTGTATATGCCATGGTTTAGGTCCGGACTTACAAGTCCGGAACTGAACCTAAACCTCTGGACTTGAATCCGGACCTGAACCTGAAATTGGGTTTAGGTATGCATCACTACTACTAGCTTGTACAGAAATTTTGGAATTTGATAGATAACAATATTTCTGTAACCCTTCACCCCTAACTCTGGCCCAGCCCTGGTCTTTGACCCCACATCAACCTTAAATGGAAAAGTTCAAGTCAAGGTCATTAAGGCATCTATTCACAATAATGTTATCTAGCCTTTGAGAAGTTAGGCTGTGTCTTTTTGTGTGTTTTCTTGTGTTTCTGTAGTCATTTTCACATGCCAGACAAGTTTGCGTGAGTGACAGGAAGTTAGGTCAAAGGTCCCAGAAAAGTTTACCTCTTTTCCTGTCCGCAACTTTCTGCCACATGCATGTCAGTTGGAAAATACAACGACAGAATTAGTAAGAAATTCTTGAAAAGATAATGTTCAAACAAAAAATTCATAATTATTATTTCACAGAAGTATGAGATCTTCAATTTCTCGTTTTGTTTTTGCAGGATAGAACACCTGGACAGATGGTGTAGAGACCTGAAGATTCTTTACTTACAGAACAATGTCATTCCAAAGATAGGTAATGTATATTTTTCATTGAGAAATGAATACTGGTAACGTTTTGATTTATCTCCCCTGATGAAGAACAGTTTTTGTTAAGAACAACAAAAGTCACATTTTCTACTTCCTACTAATTCTTTATAAAGTTAAATTATGGAAAGAGGTAGTGATATTTTCTTCCCAATCATTGCCTTTCATAAGCATTTCTTATGTAGACTTGTAGTTTAGGGTACTATGTAGTTTAGCTTGGCGTAATTAATCCAGTTCAACTAGTAGTTTTTATTGCGTTATTGATTTTGCTAATGACATATTTCATTTTTTTCAGTTTTGTTGGTAGAATATTGATTGCTAATTCCTCTTAAGGGTACAGAGAGATGAACATCATCATCATGATCATAATTCACATAATAATTTACTCTGTATTATTGATCCTGGTAATGACAAATGACTTCTGTTTTTGTCTTGTCAGTAGAATGTTGATTACGTCCCTCTTAAGGGCATGGAGGTGAACATCATACCCATTTGTTTATTCACCCCTAGATGGGACACTTCATAAGTTGATGACTGATGAGTATCATAAGAGACTAATAACATATAATGTCACAGGCCACTACAATATACTTGTATTAAGTATTTGCTTGTTCTAAAGATGATACAGAAGAGAAGTAATGTCTGCTGATGAAATCAAGGAAGAAAATGTAAGTCCTAGAAAAACTCGAGAGCTTGTCGAATGAAAACCATCCACCCTCTTTATTTATCTTCACTTCAACCTTTGCTACATTTATAGGCAATTTGTTCATACAATACTACTAGAATATCCTGTTGAGAAATATTGATGTCCTGTTACTTGTTTACATAATTTCAGAACTCTCTTGTGGTTATACAAATAATTATAAGCTCAAACCAAACATGATAATGCAGATCTTTTGATTTGTGAAAAGTAATTTTTGTTTTCCAGAAAATGTTGGGAGATTGAAGAAACTGGAGTATCTCAACCTCGCCCTCAACAATGTGGAAAGAATAGAGAACTTGGAAGGTAAAATAAATCATGTACATGTACTTGAAAAGACTGTTTTTATCGCCTCTGTTGAGAAACTTGGGAGAGAAAGTTAATGTTTACTGATATGCCGCCACTGTGCTATCACATCTAAGCTAATGGACTTGTACGTGTGTAATGACTTTATCGATCATTCTACAGAAAATGTACCATGGGATTTTTGTAACACATGTACTTTCTATAGTATGGGTGTGAAACCAAAGTCAATCATGATGATAGCAACAAGCTATTGGTCCACATGAGGGGAGTATCCATTCCCTGGACTTAGCCTAGCTCTAGATCAAGATCATTTAGGAAGGGATGCAATCAGATAGAAGACGGGAACCAATCAATCAGGCTTACACCCTCTGACAGGTAACTGAAGTTAGAGGGATGAAAGTATGAATCAATTTGCCATTTGCTACATGCGTGGTAGAGATATAACACAGCTAAACCTTCAACCAGACAGTGATATACATGTAATGTTGCACAGTTGTAGATTTTACCAGTTTCAAAATTCTTCTGGACCAGTCAATCTGATCAGTGATGCTCATTGTTGATACATCACGGTGTACAAGTTATGTAAACTATGTAGCTTACTATATCATTGAATGAATGGTGGTTGAACTATTTTTGATTTGTGAGACAAACATGTTTTATCATTTTTTCCTTTGCATGCTCCCCTGCATGATTTGTAAAATTCAGGGTTGATATCTAATGTACATTTGTACTTTATACTTTATATCAATATTCAGAAATTTCAAATTACAGATGTAAAACTCTCTTGTAAGTTGAAAAGTTCTTTTAGTTTGAATTTGGTTAGAATCCAGAATACAAAAGATTATTATACAAGTATGTGTCTGAGATGATTTCATCCCAAATAATTTACAATCATCTTGCTTTTTTATTCTCTTTCAGGCTGTGAGTCTCTGAAAAAGCTGGACTTGACTGTGAATTTTGTGGGTGAACTGACCGGTGTGGAACATCTCCAACAGAACCAATTCCTGGAAGAGCTGTGAGTTAATAATAAAACAGTTTGATCTAAGATTTTCTGCTGTGCAAGAGACTCTCAGGATTTGTTCGAGCGGGAGCTAAAACTGAGTAATTACAAGTAGTTAATTGATCTAACATTATTTACCTTCAGGAACAATGACAGACTACAACTTGTTCCAGCAAACAAAATCTCTCAAACCTTTCACATGACATTTTGGAATGACAAAAATTATTATATTATAGATATGTTATTATTACCACACACATGTTTCAGCTTCCTACTGCTTTTGCTTTTACATAGTGTATTTCCTTGTAAATGTGTATCAATCATTTCTGCTGACACTATCAATTTTGCTAGGTATCTGACAGGGAACCCCTGCACAGACTTTAATGGTTACAGACAATATGTGGTTACCACCCTACCTCAACTGAAGGTAAGAATATTTCCTTGGCTGGTCTTGTCAAAGACAGCATCATATGTAAAATATCATTTTGACTTCACTATAACAAAGCTAGTATTGGTTTTTATGATTTGTGCCTATTTTTGCAAATGTTTTTCCAGAAACCTGGTCTTACATGTTAGGTCTGGAATGATGTGAAAAAATATTGACAAAGTTTTCATTATCTTCAGAAGTTAGATGGAAAAGTGATCCAGAAAACTGAAAGAATCCTGGCAAGACAGGTAATTTTAAAAGTTCTATGTAATTGTAGTGTTGATATGTAACTTGTAAGATTGATGTAAGTTATTAAGAAAATAACATTGTTTTTGTCATTGTAATTCTATATTTTGTATTATCTTGTCAAAATTTAGATGTTCTTCCTTTGCTCATCTTATAACTCATTATAACTCATTATAACTTAAAAATTATTTCACCTAATCTTTGTTTTTGTCCTGAAGAAAATATAAGGTTGTTGTGAATTTTAATATGTATTGTTGTTGCTTCCCACCACAACAGACATACAAATCACATATTATATCTTCTCAACAGGATTATGAAGCAGTGAGGAAAAACATAATAGAACAACAGCAGGCATATGTCCAGAAAAGGGTTAGTGTATGCCCTGATTTTTACCTCCATGAAAAATCCGGTTTTTGTATCTTTTGTCCTGAACATACTATGGTCTTGACTTTTTGGGGACAGATAGGTTTTCCTATCAGAAAAAAGTGGTGTGGGTTTGGTCCCCCTAGCAGCTTGTGATGTGGGGTGTGGGGAAGAGTAGAGAGGTCTACCAGTGGGGTGTGGGGAAGAGCAGGGAGGTCTACCAGTGGGGTGTGGGGAAGAGCGAGGGAGGTCTACCAGTGGGGTGTGGGGAAGAGCAGGGAGGTCTACCAGTGGGGTGTGGGGAAGAGCAGGGAGGTCTACCAGTGGGGTATGGGGAAGAGCAGGGAGGTCTACCAGTGGGGTGTGGGGAAGAGCAGGGAGGTCTACGAGTGGGGTGTGGGGAAGAGCAGGGAGGTCTACCAGTGGGGTGTGGGGAAGAGTAGGGAGGTTTACCAGTGGGGTGTGGGGAAGAGTATTGAGGAGGAGCACACCCCGGGTCTTCCGCGACCAGGGTCCGTGGTAGTCCGCGGTAAAATAAAGTGAGGAAAGAGTTTTGAGCAATCAAGTTTGAGTTCACATTTCTTTTAATCTGCTTTGAAATGATATTAGATGCTAGTATGGCTAAAAAATAATAATAGAAGTGGTGTTTTTTCGGTTGAAGATTGATTTTGGCCTGGATTTTCACTTCCGGGTATCCTTGCGCTTATAGCGCGATCTGCCCATTTGAACCAGATTGTCTTCTCAGTCGTGATGTGGGCGGATTTTGGACCATTTGCGCCGTGGATGAAGAAAATAAACTGCATTTTTAATATTGAAGTAAATGCATATTTTAGAAACACCCCTAAATGCATATTTTAGAAACACCCCTATTTCTATAACCGTGTGGAATAGGACATAGCTGTTTGGTAGGCGAGGTGCTGTATTGTATTTGTATACGTGTTATCAAATATTGGCTCCGACTTGTACAGATGGATCCTAATACGCATCCACTGCAATCTGATGCTCTGCTGTTTCAACAAAATGTGCATTGTCAGAGAAAAAGTCATATATTTCATGGAGGTATGAAATCTCCGAATTCTTGTTGTAAAATGAACTTTTTTCTATCATGAATACTGTTTAAGAACAGTATCCTATTCAATCAAACACTACTTGGAAAATAACTTGATAAATTTTTCAAAGGATTCTACTTAATAATAATGGAAATTGTATTATTTGTAAGTACTTGCAGTGGTAATATATTAGTAATAATGTATATTTGTGCAGCTGAAAGAAAAAGAGGAATCTGAGAGGAAGGCAGAGGCGAAGGAGGCCAGGTCAGGTGCACAGCCTGGGTTTGATGGAAGGTGGTACACTGACATCAACACTCACCAATCTGACAAGCCCAGCAAGGATGGGGAGGGGGGCAAGGAGGAGGAAGAAGATGAAGAGTGAGTGCTTCAAAATAAAATACTCTCAAATCAATTAAAACAGAGTAAAAAAAGTGTCAACAAAAGTTATTTCAGTTCCATCATTATATCCTACTTGAAGAAAATTAAGTTCTGGTGATGCTGAATGATATTTTCGAAACCAAAATGATATTCATTACAACCTGCTGTTTACTTGCGATGTGTATTCTGATGTGTCATACTTCTGACAGGTTCTGGAAACAACAAGTTGGATACACACCCGAATCTCGGCTGGAAATCCAGAAGAAGATAGAAGAACAGAAAAGGAAAAAGGAGGGAATCGAGGAGTAAGTGTCTTTCTTACAGAGTAACATGTGAAAATGTAAGATACACCATATGTTACACGATTTTGTATATAAATTATGTGAAAGAAAGTTTTCATGTCCATGTGGTTCTAGCAATGTAAACTGACCATCTGTCTGTTTTACTTAATAGTGAAAAACCTAAGAAGCAGAGAAACTTGTTTGCAGAAGATGGAAGACCCTATAACGTCAATGAAGCCAAGTAAGTATCATATCATTTTGAATGGAGTGTCCAGTCCTACTGCTAATATCTTCTGTCACCATTGCTTCATATTTTGTCAGCTCATATTATTGGTATGTAATGAGTACATCCAGAATAATGTTGCCTACACTTGTCTCCCCTATGGGCAATAGAAATGCTTTTGCTTAGTGACATTTAGATATTCTCTCGATCACAAGACATGTTGTAAAGTATTGCCAGTATTAAAGTTGTCATAACTGCATCTATATGAATATCTGTCTCCCCATTTAAAGTATACTGTATGCCTATGGATTACCTTTTACATGTCTAACACTACGAGAGAACAGAAAGCTTAGCCCATACATGTAACTTACTGGATTTTGAAATGCCAACATCTTAGCGGTTGATATTTTTTTGATCATGTTACAAAGTCTGGAAAAGTTTGAACTAAACCATTGCTAACTTTTCAGGGTGGACTTCAACTTGACGGAGAATGAAGATGACAACGCTCTGTTGTTGGATGTTGCTGTGTTCAGGTCAGACATTGGGGCAATATGTTCTGTTATCTTCTTCCTTTGGCTTTGTATCTCACAGTTAATATCTGTCTACGTTTGGTAACAGTAAGCCGTTGATTTAACTGTAGTCAGCATATCCCGGAGTGGTAGCTCATTTGATTAAAGGGAGGATTATCCATAAGGTAGTGCCATCATTTTAAAGTTGTGGTAGCAACTGACATAAACATACACATAGTGTTACAGGCCGATGAAATCAGCCCTAGTCCTCAATACCAGAACTAATTGCATTGCCCTTACCAATTCACACTTTACAATTAGCATGCACAAATTGCTTTGACGATTCAGCATGAATACATTGACACTTGTTAGGTTAAATGTTGACTTCATAAAGGAATTTCACAGTTATGTCCTTGGTGCTGAATACAAATGTAGTACCAACCAACTGTACATGGCTGGATGGCTCTGTCCTTGGTCCAGAACATTTGATGATTCGTTTTGCATTAGCTTGGTGAAGCTATATGTAAACTTCCAAACTTTACTGTGTAATCCACTTTGCAGTCATTGAGACTGGATCAAAATATACTTCAAAGACAAAATAAGGTTTCTCCACAGTTCCTTAACAACCTGTGTTGGTATAATCAACTCCTTTTTTAATGGACATTGGTCAACTCAAGTATCTCATGGATCAAGGAGATTATACTGGGGGTATTTGAAATGTGAACTCATTGCTCGAACTAATATACAGTGAGCCAGTTTATTTACATCATCACAGATTTTCAAATAAAAGTCACATCTGGACTGTAAGTTGTCTCAAGTAGTAAGCTGCTTACCATATGAATCAAATTCCATACTTCAGATCCAAAGGGCACATATTCAAGCTTTCGAGCATGCTTGGCTGAAAATGCACGGTCTGGCAAAGTCACATTGCACTACTACTAGCTACTCGAAAAAGCATCATGCTTCATCTCAATTGAGGTTGACTGCTGTACCCTTTCCCAAATGCCATCCAGGTACATGGACACATCCCTCATGGACGTGGATGTCCAGCCGACCTACGTCAGAGTCACCGTCAAAGGAAAGGTACGGAGCAGCTGTGACTCCCGGATGGGAAGGCAATGTCAAGAACAAATGAAAATGATAGATAAGAAACACACATATAAGTCTTCATGAGGCAGTATATTTTACAAAATGCTTAACTCTTACAACAAATGTACTGACATGCATGCTATCATCAAATCCATCCAAGGACATTACAAACATAATCCATCCATATTGGATGGCATCATGGTTTATTAAAATTTGATTGAATTTTGATTGAAAGTTATGTTTGATTGAAATTTAAGTAAAATGGAATTTCAAACAGTGATTTGGTCAGTATATTGGAAGAAGAAAGGATTGTTGTTAAAACTCTTTAGACTTTATCCCAGTACCATCTACATTTTCTCTCCGTGGTTGCCTTATCCATTGCTGTACCCACCATCCAGAAAATAGTATAATAGTGGAGGGTATTTGCAAAGTGTTCTTCGATATGTAATGTTACACATTTACACAGCCACATATGCGTGGATAATAGGCAACTTTAAATTCAGATTAACTTGTTTAACATCTCTTTCCTCACAGATCTTACAGCTGCATTTACCAGAGGAAGTCAGGCCTGACTCATGCAAGGCAGTTCGTTCTCAGACAACTGGACATCTCCTCATCACAATGCCCAAGGTATGATCGACCTCATCATAATGATATTACAATCATACAAAATGTTATATCAGTTTGGAAGCTCCTGGATTGCACTAAATCTAACTGGCACTGTCCTTGGTGCTGAACAGTACCAACTCTGTATAGCTGGATGGCACTGTCCTTGGTGCTGAACAGTGCCAATTCTGTTGGATGGCACTGTCCTTGGTGCTGAACAGTACCAACTCTGTATGTCTGGATGGCACTGTCCTTGGTGCTGAACAGCACCAACTCTGTTTGTCTGGATGGCACTGTCCTTGGTGCTGAACAGCACCAATTGTGGATGATTGGAGGGCACTGTCCTTGGTGCTGAACTATGCATGATTGGATGACTTTGTCCTTGGTGCTGAACAATCAGTGATGAACCATTTGGCTCACTGTTATCTTAAAATAGAAGATTGTTGCAAGTATATAGGATGCATATTTTAAATCTATTTGCTCCTACATGGATAGATATTTATAAGTTTAAAACTAGAATGTAAAGATGACATTACTGACATTTGATAGAAAAGATGAGCAAATTGAGTTTTTATCTTTGAATTACAAAACTTTGTTTCCATATTTAATCACCATTTGTTTAAATCTAAAACAGCTATTTTTATGAAATTTTCTTACAGCCTCATTGTGCTGGGCATAACTATGATGAAAATCCTTGAATGTACATGTTTGTCTATTTCTAACTTTGATCTGTGTTGGTGGAATTCATTCTGAAGCAGGATTTAGCGTAATTTCCAACACAAAGAAGAAAGTTCAAGACTAGATTTTCCACTAAACAGCATCAGTCTTTGTCAACAAATGGTGCTGTTCAGATGAAAATTGACTCCCTAACTTTCTTCTTTGTGTTGAAAATTGCAGTTTATGTCATGCTTCAAAATCCTATTTTACTTTTCAATAGAATAAGAGGATTATTGCATTTTTGATGCAGGCTAACCAAGTGGTAAAGCCCCTGAAGGCACAACAGGAGGAGAAGAAAACCACCAGACCTGTCGAGCCCCCCACAGAGAAATCACGGCAAGCCTTTGAGAGGCTGGAGGTAGACCCCACCAAGAGTAAGGGTGTAGACTTTGCCGCCATAACTGCTGAAAAACACAAACCAGCACAACAACCCCTAGGGAGTGTGACATCCCGGCCTGTGGAGAGACCAAACAGCGAGGACTTTGTGGATGATCTTGACGTTCCTCCTCTGATGTGACCCAAGGTTTTCGTTCTTCTTTTTTGTTGTCCAAGTCCTGAAAACATCCTCACTATTTGTTCTTACGTAGCCTGGTTGGTTGTTAACCTCCAGTTCCCTTGTCTTAACGATTCCCGAAGGCAGCTAGCTAATGATGGAGATTACCCTTTTTCCTGTATTACAAGGAAGGATATTGTGCTTCAGGGTCAAAAAACAGCCAAGCCACTGATGGACATCACACAGCTATCTGTGGAATCAGTGGAAAATTCCCAGGTGAAGTTCTGCAGGCTACGACCAACCCCATCAATCTTTTGGATCTTAATCCCTTCAATGAACGTGGAATGTCTTTGTCTAGAACCTTATGGCATTGAACTTGTACAGATGCTGTGCTCCTGCCAGGACTTAAGCGATAGCATCTGTCTGGAAATTCTCAAGACCACTTATACTCGACAAAACTATATGTTATCAGGAGTCTTTATCTTAGAAATGGCCATTAGAGAAACCAATATGATCCCCATGGTTGGGTAATATTGAGTGTAGAGTGTGATGGATGGCGATGTTATAACAGATATGGAGAAGAAACCAATAAAAGTTAATGGGTGGATGCCGGGGGCTGCTATGATGAAGTTTTTCCTGAAAATAATTTTTCTGGTAGGTAACGTTGGCTATACTGTTTGTCATTAGTATGGTTTTGTTGTCCTTTGAGCAAAGTGCTATGAACACTTCAAAGTCAGAGTTTCTAGACAATTAAGCACAGAGATGTGTTTGTATGATCCAAGAGAATTTAATATCAGCAGAACTAAGATTCCATGATGGTCATAACTATTGGAACAATAACCAAAATGATTCCAATGTACATGGCATTGTACTCTAATAGATACAAAATGCATTTCGGAGTATGGGGATTGCATGCCAGATGACTTCGCTTATGATGTTAACCAGCTGCAAATCTTATTTATTCATTCATTCATTTCATACTCCATTATGTTCCCTTGTTGTCTATTTTTGCATACAAATATAAATGAAACATGAGAAAAACATGATATGTCCCTTTGTTGGACTATGCCATTATGATAACATTAACCACGAATGGGGGTGTGCTAAACTCATCCTAACTCATTTGCAACATCTCTCTGCCGAACAAGAATATGCCTAGGTTATAATAAGCAGAGGCTATGGTACTAGTGTAATAATCTCAGCAGAAGATTTCTATATTCACACCACTGTGATAATTTACTTTGCATGAAGAGAGATAGCCTCTGTTGCAGGCCCCTTCAGATGTTGTTTTTATGGGCAGTTTTCTGATAGCTACTGGGTTCTGATTGCTTGCCGAGGTCTGATTGCAGTGCTAAATCAGAACCCAGTTTATGATTAGAATCTTGTATATCATTTTCAATCTTGGCATGAACTTTTTCATGGTCTATTTCTACTGGGACTGCAACTGGGGCAGACAGACTGTTAGCAGAAACTATACTCTGGTACTATGTTATGTTTCATAGGAGATTTTTGCATTTAATGATGTGATATCTATTGAAATTTTTGCATGTTAATGAGCAAACCCTTTCTGTCCTGTTATCAAGACTGCAACATGGCTGAAACTTCATATGTTTACAACATTTTAGGTACCCTTGCTGAGGTGATGACGCAGTTAGAGTCTCCATCATATATTTTCTCTGTTACTGACTAGAACTTTCCAAACTATAGTCAAAGGCTCTTTCTGGCTAATTTCCAAGCAGATCTTCTTAGGGGAGTTGGAAGGTCGTTATATTGTAACGTTTAATCAGATTGTCAACCCCACAAGGGTACCTATATGCAGTACACGTATGAAGTTTCTGCCATGTTTCAGTCTCGAAATATGTTGTGAGACAGAAAGGGTTCATTCATTAACATGCAAAAATTTTGACTGCAAAAATATATCTGTGGACAGTGTATCTGAAAACAAGGCAGTCAGAGAAAATATTCAGCTGGAAGATCTGCTTGGAGATTATGTTTTTCAACTATTTCTCTATTTGCTATCACTAAAGGGTCATCAGGCAAATTTGTAAACTGCAAAACAGGGTAAACCAGTGATTGGCTTGTTCTCTGAGGTGCTTTTGTCATGAATGTTTTTGTCGTGAATGAATGGTTTGCCAGCATCAGGCCAGTGAAAAGACAGGAAGCACCTGTCCAGTGTTGTTGTGTAGGCTTCAAATGTCTGACAGTGTTAATGTTGTTACTGGCAATGGTGGTGGCCCAATGGCCCAACTTACCTGTGCTCGTGCATGCCAAAATAACTATTAGTACCTAGACAATGACATGTACTTCCAATGAACAAACATCAATGTACATGCTAGAGATATCTCAAGGTAACACTGCAGCCAGCCACTGGTACATTTTGTACATCTACACAACACTGGATAAAATGAAGATGCTTTTAAACACATACCCCAGGCTAATGTGTAACCCTGGGTGTCATCAATGATTCTACAAGAAAGAAAATATACTGAAGATTGGCTGTACAAAAAGAGTTCTTGCATCTAAGTGTTTGTCCAGGCACTATACACAGTGGTCTAAAGAAAGTCTATATCTAGCCTCCAGTCTAGCAATTTGCATATTTTTA